TCCCTCTAAGTAGGCCCAATCCCTCTCCATCTTGTGCCTTATCACTTGATTTGTGCACATTGTGAGCTTGGCAGCTATCAGTGAAGCGAGCTCCACTGTATCTCGCTGTACGATGATGATGGTGATTGACAAAAGCCATCCTGTGTAGATCAGATAGGTGCAAAAGCCATCACCACGTCAAGGTGCAGTCTCTGACAGTAGTTACCTCCGAGCGGCATTCAACGGCAAGGCTGGCGCGGAGTGAAAGCCAGTTCTGATTCTAACTTCGAAAACCGTACACTTCGTCAACGCTCGGGCACTCCATATCANCATATCATTGATTGTGGTGATACTGGTCTTCCACTAGCAACCGAGACGAAAGCGCCATCCCGATTGCGGTATTGGTGAGAGACATCTGGAGAGCTCCGCGGTGGCGTGTGGGAGAGCATAACCAAACCACTAAAGGCGACGGTGTTGCAACAGTATAGAAGGTCTCAGGAAATTGCAGCTTCAGCGAAATTTTGTGCCACTGGGCTTTCAAACGCAAATGCCAGTGGTCGAAAACCTCGAATCATTGGAGGTCCTAAGCCCTTTACAGTTATGTCTCGCCGCATTAATTCAGGTCAGTAAGGATGACTGCTCTGTATACTTGCATCTTGGGATTAAGGCTGATTTCGGTGCTTGACCATTGTGTTCGACGAATTGGTAGAAAAGCCTCTCGAACTATGTCGACGGATAACTGAATTCGGTTTGCTTGTTGAATTGGGTGGTGGAGCTGGGACAAAATCAACTGTTCGCCATTGACAGAAATTGGTTGTTGTGCTTCGACTGCTGTGGTCGAGATCGTTTTGGTCTTGAACGAATTCATTTTCAAGCCAACTTCGGCAGAAAGGGCGAGACGGTCGAGAATCGCTTTTAGGTCTTCTACCGTGTCTCCGATGTCGTCTCACGGACTACTTGAGGTACGCGATCCAGCTATCCGACCGGAGTTGCACCCCAGGGAACTCAGGGATGGCACGGTTAATCGTTCAAAGGTGATAGTCAATAATCTTGTGTCACTCCCGATTTCAAGGGAGACTCCCAAGGCTCCTCTCCTTGGGTGCGGACTGGAGCTTGTAGTACTTTCCAAAATTAGAGGTTAAGTATTTGATTAACACGATCTCTGCCACGGCGGAAGCCACCTTGGTTTGAACGAGTGTGAACGTCTGGTACTACGGTGAACAAATTAAGCAATACCATTGTGACTAGCTTAGCCGTTATATCGATCAAAGTCATACCACAGCAACTCACAGTTTAGTCCCCCTTTTTGGAGGTGGGCAGCAGAACAGAGGTAATACAATTTTCGGGAAAGACGTCTGTTTCCCAGATGTGATGGTGGAGCAAAATCGAAACGCAGAATTTGACTTTCTGCAATGGAATACCGTCTTCGTCTGAAGTCTTCCTACTTTTCAGTGAGGCGAATTCCTCACCTGGTGGCTCACAAATAACTATGTATGGTTCACAATTTTCTGCTCTTGTTGAATGTTCAGATTGCCTAGTTGTGCGATTCAGTTGCTTGCTGTCCCACTGACCTCAGTAATTTCACTTCGCTTCCTTGTATTAGGTGATCTCTAGGTCCCGCAGCATGGTTTTCGTCGGATACTTCTGTTCCAAATTACGACGAATGATGCGGACGCACTTTCTGAATTCTCTAATGCATGCGGTGGCCTTTTTCTGACCAATATTTATTTATTCCTTCCTGGCAGAGTGAGGAGCTTCATGTCGGAGGGTGCGGGCTTCACAAGGACATGCAGAATCTTATTAGATGAATGAAGGGTTTCTTTTGGGACCCAGTCTTTATGCTATCGTGCCTTCTTTCAAGTGTGTTTCAACGCGGCGTTCTGGATACACGGTCTAATCGTTATCCACTCCGTACCATATCGTACCTTTGGATGGCTTCTTCACACTAAGCATGCTGTCTATTGCGTTTGATATAATTTGTGCTCCCTCCTGGTAGTCTAGAGCAGCACAATTGATTATAGTCCCTTAGCGAGGTTTTTATCGAGTTCTAGACCCCAGACAGGAGACATCTATCTAATCACTGTTCCTCTCACGCCTCGTCCCCACTTCGTCTGTTTTTTTCTAACCTGGAGCCACAATTGTAAATAAGTGTGATCGGGTGATCGAGAGCTGGACATGCACAATGCGCGTCCTAACCAGTGAAACCTACGCATCTGAATTCAACGTGATAACGAATCGTTACCAAATACCCACTGGCTTTCTTCAGTGCTGCTGACATGCTCGCACTATCCAACCCTTCGCCAAACTACGTTACACATCGACAGTCAAAACCTATAGACGATGAATTCTTTCCTCGCTCGGTTTAAAGATCACGCAACCTAACGGTGGCGCACTATATGCGACCTTTGGTTTCAAGGAAATATCACATCACCAAAGGATTGCCAGTCCTGCGTACACTGCTCGTGCCTTTCAAGTTAAGTCAAGTAAAGCTTTATGCACCCAATTGGATGAATTTTCAGCAATTCCGATAAGTTACAATGAGGAAAATGTTAAGCATTGGAAAAAGAAGAAATATACATTTACTAATTGGAAAACAAACGGATATGATGGAGTCCTAATGCGATAGATGATTATTCAAGTCAGTAATAATATTTGCTCGGTTGATTAAGATACGAGCAAAATAAGGCATGATGCTGCATTTATATGCGGTGGTGTTTGCAAAAAGAATCTAAAATTTGGAACGTACTCAAATCAGACACTGATTTATTTAGATGTGCATGCAGGCAGTGTTCTTCATTTCACAGTATATGGCTGATAAATCGATCGTATGAATCAAAATGCTCGCTCACAATAAATGCTGCTGCAACGGGAAAGAAGTTCAAGAGATCTGGAAAAAAGAATAAAGTCTTTCTCCTTTAGAGCAGGAAAATATACCGGGGAACAGTACAACCAATGTGGAAGAATGCACGCAGTCACAAATTTAGGAATTACATTTAGGGGAACGTCGAGCTTTTTAAGCCTGTTAGCGTAGTAGGATAGCCTATAAACCCTAATATAAGTGTTTTCAACATGGACCAAGAAAAAGTGTGGGGAAGTAACTACAAGATATTTCACAGAGTTAGCCTTGGGGATGTTATTACCATTATCAGAAGGTTCAGGCTGGTAACTCAAAAGGGTTTGATAATGCATGTCTGATTTAAGGCTAAAAGAAATATGCTGTCGTTTATCTACATTGAGCAATAGAGTTCGGGGAGTCGAACAACTGAGGATTTTATTTAGATAAACTCGAAGTCGCCAAACAATCAGGATCAGTCGAGGGATAACCGATCACTACGTCATCGGAATACTTGCACGCGATAAAGTTAAAAGATCCTAATATACAGTGAAAAAAGTAAAGAGACAAATAGCACCCTGAAAAACTCCAGAGTTAACTTCTAGCAGAGGAAGATTTACCGTTACAAAAAGTATATTGCGTCCTATTAGTGAAGTAATTAATTAGTGCATTTAACAAATTAGGTGCCAGACCACAATCCGAAAGACGTTGAATGAGAATGCCGCGGTCAAGTGGCCAAAAAGCAGCATAATCAAGAAAAGTTGAGCGGACGATGCTAGCCCCTTCATCCAACAAGGATGAAACGGAATGAACAATGTGAGCAACAGCATCAATAGTTGAAAGCGAATGTTTATAAGCTAACTGATTAGGGTCATGGGTAACAGATAAAAGGATCAACCGGTTAAGAAGGACTCTTTCGAAAACCTTCAATCGGTCGATATTTGGAGAATCCGTTCTGGGGAATTGGTGTTATCCTAGCAGCTGTCCAACAGTCAGGGATATTTCCAAACGACATACACAAAGTGAACAACTAGGGAATGCGGGCAATTACTTCGCTTTGCCACCGTCACCTATCACAACCACCTAGGTAGGACAAGCAATTCATTGTACTTAATTCTTCACCACCAAGCATCAGAGCCGGGGTAGACGAAATCCAATCCTGTAGCATCAGTTTGTTCAATGATAGAAACCGATTACCCAAGTCCCAGGACTTGAGGTGGTGAACCACATAAGACGCCGCTGGTTTAGGTATGACATTGAACCGGACGTGGGCAAAGCTGCCTACCACCAAAGTTTACGTGGCGGCGGCGGGACTCAAACCTCAGTCCAAAGTACGTTAGTGACAGAAACTAATGTATTATGTCACCACCACTCTAGCCCTACGCTGTTGGCGCCGCTCACCCACTCCCCTCACCCCGGTTAGTGTAATTAGGAGCAGGGACTCGACGGCCAAATAGAGAAATAAGAAAATATGTTTTCGCTGCATGATTAAGCTCTTGGTTTCCTCTGCCACCGATAGACAAACGTTTTGATCTCCTTGCCATAGCATTTCCCGCAATTTCTACCTTTCCAGCTCCCTCGCTATCTGTAATTCCTCTGGTAATCTTCATTTCAAACTACAGACGAATGCTGAGGTTTTTATTTCTGTTTGTCGCTAACTACATCCTACCCAAGTATCCTCGACATCTTAGTCCATTGTTACTCCTACCTCGTATCAGCACCAGGAAGATCTGCACAGCGCTGCGCATTCTGAACGTACGCAA